TTGCAGCTGAGCTATAGCTCAGGCCCAAAATTACAGTTTTAATAGGATTACTGGTAGGAAAGATGTAGAAGGACTTTAAAATGAATTAGAGCCCATTGAAGGTTTCTGTCAAAGAGAATAGCATGAAAGCATTTTTTGAGCAGTTTATTTGGACTCACTGGCAGTGAGATTTAGAGAAGTCAAGAGAAATAAGAAAGCTACTCAGGTTGCAAAGTGCCTAAGGAAATTGTCACTTCAGAGCMAAGAGAGCAAGCTGGCAGTCTATGGGAATCAGATTTATTTTGCTTTGTTTTAAAGACATTTGGTCATCCAAATAAGAAATGGAAAGATTTCCATAAAAAACCCGTTTCCAACTTTTTCTTTTTTTTTTTCCGGTGGTGCTAGATAAATGGGCCTTTTGCATGCTATGCCAGCACTTTACCACTGACCTACATTCCCAATTCATGTTTCTGACTTAAAAGTTGGCCATACTGTATCAATATTTCTACATAAAAAGTCATCTGATAWGTGGCTGCTGCATCAAATAGCCTGAGTTCTTCAGTTCTATAATGTCTACTCCTTTATATTTTATCTAACCTTATCTTTTGATTTTTGAGGAAAATTTATTGATTTAAATCAAATCCACATTGACTCATCATAATGAATTATTTTATTCCTATAATTTATTTCAGTTCATTTAGTGAATCTTCACTTTTTATGTTTTTGTRTCTTTTAGAGGCTGCCTCCATTTGAAACATTTTCTCAGGGACCTACATTGCAGTTCACTCTTCGTTGGACAGGAGAAACCAATGATAAGTCTACAGCTCCTATAGCCAAGCCACTTGCCACTAGAAATTCCGAGAGTCTCCATCAAGAAAACAAACCTGGTTCAGTTAAACCTACACAAACTATTGGTAAACAAAACATTGCTATTAAAATAATGGTTTCAGAGTTAGGACTTAGCCTTTAGATTTATTTGTATTTTGCTTCATGTAATTATTCTTTAGGAAATATTATTTGGCTTGCTAGATTGACTATTAACTATTGTACATTAGGATTTTCCTGTGTTAAATGTAAAGTTTTATGTTGAAGTACTGATAAATATACCTTTATTTAGAACCTTTGTGCTAGATGTGTCTGAGAATTTGAATTTTTCTTTTAAATGTTTGGAAGCATAATATGGTATGTAATATGTGCCACATATTATTTAACACTTCCATGGTGTCTGTAGATACCTTCATATCAGTTTAGCAGTTTTTMCAATATATGAATATGCCATAAACTGAGGAGGAAAAAAAAAATTTGGTTTTCAGATTGAATTTTAGATTTCTCAGTGGCAGCTTGGAAAGGACTTTGGAACTGCCAGATGCTGAGTCACATTACTGTAATTCCACCTACTTAGAAGACTAAGCAGGAGGATCACAAATTGGAGGCCAGCCTAGGCAACTTAGACTGTCTCAAAAGGAAGTAAAAAGTGTTGGAGATGTAGCTCAGTGGTAGACTTCTTGCCTAGCATGAATGAGACYCTGGGTTTAATCCCCAGTACTGCAATAATTTTTAAAAAGTGCTTTGGAACTATATCTTTAATAAGTTTTACAGTGTTATAGAACTGAATTTAAATATTCAGACTGTTTTTTATAATTCTAGGGTTGCTGGAAGAAGTTCATCAAAACCTGGATTATTCTGGTTTAATACATTTTTAAAAATATTTTTTAGTTATAGATGGCACAACACCTTTATTTTATTTATTTATTTTTATGTGGTACTGAGGATTAAGCCCAGTGCCTCATGTGCAAGGCTAGCGCTCTGCCAATGATCCATAATCCCAGCTCTGTAGTCCAGAGACAGACAGAATGCTTTTATTTTATATGTTTATTTGTATGTGGTGCTGAGGATGGAACCCAGTGCCTCATACATGCAAGCAAGCACTCTACCATTGAGCTACAGCCCCACCCCTGTAGTATATTTTTAAAAGGAAAAACATTTTTACAAATGGAGTTGACTCTGTTGTATTAATTCTCAAGCTACAATGTTCTGTCATATCTATTAGGAGCACTGCTCTTCACCTGAGTGCATCCATGTATTTTTATCTATTTAAAGACTACAGACAGCTTAAGATGTTTTCTTTGACATTGATCAATTATGTACATTGATTATGCGTAGGTCACTGTAATAAATTAAAGAGATATAAGAAWTGACCCATGACAGGAAGATTTCCCACATAAATTGTGGTCTAGGCACTTCTTAGCAATACTCTGAAGCCATTGAAAATAGGTAAAAAAGTTACAAAGGAACTGAGGGAAAGGGAAGAGTTTATACAAAATTGTATATATGGGATGCTCAGATGAATCAAGAAAAAGGCTTTTTTCCCATTAGGTATGAATGAAATATATCAAAATTGTTAATGGTGATTATCTTTTAGTTCTGGAATGATTTTAATATAATTACTTTTTACTTAACTTTCTGGTAAATGAGAATTTAGTGGATATCTTATTTTTATGATGGTTTAGGACATAGCATCTTAAACTCTGTCATAGTAGATTTATTTTTAATTATGTTGTAATTAATTTTTTATTTTTTCTCAATATATATTAATATGAAAACCAATCATAAGCAATTCTTAGGGTTGGGGATATAGCTCAGTGGTAGAGTACTTGCCTAATATGTGGGAGGCCCTGTGTACATCCCCAAAGAGGCAAACTATAAGAACAAATAATACACTCACACAAAAATACTCTTTCCTCAACTTCAAATTGTTCAAAACAGTATAGTTACCACATACAATTACCTGGTTTTGTTTATTTATTTTTAACCTTTATTTTATGTGGTGCTTAGGATTGAACCCAGTGCCTCCCACGTGCTAGGCAAGCACTCCACCACTGAGCCACAACCCCAGCCCCTTTTATGATGGTTTAGGACATAGGAGGTAATTTTTAAAGGAAAAATTGAGTCCTGCCAATAAAGACCTTAACATCTGATTACTGATTAACCGGATTGTTACTCTGATCATTAGCTAAGGATAAGAATAGAAATTGTGTCACATAAATAGAATTTTGTGAAATCTTTAATTGTTTAATTATTTTAGCCAGGTATTATTTTACCTTTTAGAAGCAAATATTTTCATTAAACAAAAGTATATTTTCAGCTGTTAAAGAAACATTGACTACAGATCTACAAACAAGAAAAGAAAAGGATACTTCAAATGAAAACAGACAAAAATTAAGAATATTTTATCAGGTAAACATAGCTGACCTTCTGTTAAGTAATCATGAAATGCATTTTTTAATATACATATTTTTAGTTGTAGGTGGACACAATACATTTATTTTATTTTTTTATGTGGTGCTGAGGATCGAACCCAGTGCCTCACATGTGCTAGGCAAGCACGCTACCACTGAGCTAGAATCTCAGCTCCTCATGAAATGCATTTGTTTTATATATTAGATCTAAAATCTTTGGGAATATTTAAATAAAAATATCTATTAATTTGACACTCCTTTTAAAAATTGTCTTAACTATTTTTAGAAATTGAAACAAAAAAATCTTGATAAAAGTTGTGGACTTAACTGGATTTTTTGTTTTTTATTTCTTTAGTTTCTTTATAACAACAATACAAGACAACAAACTGAAGCAAGAGATGATCTGCATTGTCCTTGGTGCACTCTGAACTGCCGCAAACTTTATAGTTTACTMAAGCATCTTAAACTCTGCCATAGCAGATTTATTTTTAATTATGTTGTAAGTGATTTTTTATTTTTTCTCAGTATATATTAAATATAAGAGCCTAACTCTTAAAAATTATATTTGTGTAAAAATAACAAAATATCTGCATTTGATAGATTGCTTTATGCATGAGTTACAATTAATGATTCAAAGTTTACAGAAACTTGGGGTAATTTCCTTATTCTTGATGAGAGAGAAAAGAATTTTTGTTTTTTAATAAGCCAACATTCTGTTTTTTTGTTTTTTTGTTTGTTTGTTTTTTTTTTATTTCTTAGTTTTTGGTGGACACAACATCTTTGTTTGTATGTGGTGCTGAGGATYGAACCCGGGCYGCATGCATGCCAGGCAAGCGCGCTACCACTTGAGCCACATCCCCAGCCCCCTGTTTTTGTTATACTTACTTTTTAGTTGGAGACGATACCTTTATTTATTTTTATGTTGTACTGAGGATTGAACCCAGGGCCTCTCACATGCTAGGCAATCCTCTACCGCTGAGCCACAACCCTAGTCTCCAGAAGAAAGAATTTATATAAAGTCTCCAAGCCAATAAAAGAAATTTTTAAAAAATATTTATTTTTTAGTTGTATACAATGTATTTTATTTTATTTATTCATGTGGTGCTGAGGATTGAATCCAGGGCCTCGCACATGCTAGGCAAGCACTCTACCGCTGAGCCACAACCTCAGCCCACAATTGAAAATTTTAACACACATATTTCATTCCCCTATAAAAGACTCTCATAGAGGAGATGGAGCCAGATGTGGTGGCACACGCCTGTAATCCCAGCGGTTTGGGAGGCTGAGGCGGAAGGATCAAGAGTTTAAAACCAACCCCAGCAAAAGCAAGGCACTAAGCAACTCAGTGAGACCCTGTTTCTAAATAMAATCTAAAATAGGGCTGGGCCTGTGGCTTTGTGGTTGAGTGTCCCTGAGTTCAATCCTTGGTACCACAAAACAAATAAACCAAAACCCTGTTGGGTTTGAAACTAGGGGCACTGTGACACAGACTTTTTTTGGGTGGAGGTGGGGAGTACCAGGGATTGGACTCAGGGGCATTCAACCACTGAGCCACATCTCCAGTCTTGCTGTTGCTGAGGCTGGCTTTGAACTCGAGATCCTACTGTTTCAGCCTCCCAAGCTGCTGGGATTGCAAGTGTGTGCCACCACGTTAGGCAAACCCCAGACYTTTTAAATATTTTTATTTTGAGGCAAGGTCTTGTTAGTTTGCCCAGTCTGGCCTTTCGATCCCTTTGCCTCAATGTTCAGAATTGTTGGGATTGCAGGTATGTACCACTGCACCTGGCATCACATGTTTTTGACTCCAGGTCTTGTGATGTCCTGTTCACTGGCYGGTGTGCCTGGATAATTTTAGTTTTAAAAATAGTAAGAACCCATAACAATATGGAGATGCTACTCAATATACTGCTTTTTTAGTGTGCAGAAGACCCTGATTTCAATCTCCAGCACTACAAAAGAGATAACCTACAAATACTTTTTAATTAACTGGAGAGATAGGTATTTATTTATGTGCTTATTATTTTAATTTTTTTTTTTTTTGGTACAGGTGATTGAATGCAGGGGCACTTAACCACTGAGTCATATCTCCAGCCCTTTTWAAATATTTTATTTAGAGACAGGGTCTCATTGAGTTGCTTAGGACCTCACTAAGTTCATGAGGCTGGTTTTGAACTTGCCATCCTCTTGTCTCAGCCTCTTGAGCTGCAGGATTACAGGCGTACAGGTGTGCACCATCACACTGGTCTTAGGTAGAGAAGCATAATTAGTATTTTCTTTTCCTAAACATGGTGTTATTTTTGTTACAGTATCATCCAAAAGGTGCTAGGATAGATGTTTCTATCAATGAGTGTTATGATGGCTCCTATGCAGGAAATCCTCAAGATATTCATCGCCAGCCAGGTTTTGCTTTTAGCCGAAATGGACCAGTAAAGAGAACACCTATCACACACATTCTTGTTTGCAGGTAGGTAAAAAGCTCATACCACAAAAAGCTTATTCTCTAGCTTTTGTCAGGGATGTTAGAGTGAAAAAGGGGAGCCAGCCAGACTTACTGTTTAGATAAAAATTATTATTTTAAGTGTAAGTCTCAGAGGTGGTGTACTGCTTTATAACTCTCACAAGATCCTCCTTCTGTAGGTGTTTTCATTTTGTCCTCCAACTTTCCCCCTAAATTTTAACTGTTGTATTTCTATTTCTTTACTGGTTGCTATACTGGTTAGTAGAATTAAAGAATTTTCCCAGTGAAAGTTTCTAGATAGGAACTGACAAGAAAGGGATATACTGTAATTGGGTTGTATGAAATATAAACACTTCTATCCCTATCATTTAATATTGCACATGATGGTCTCTGGTTAGATACTATCCAAGATTGGTTATCCTTCCATTAGGATTTATTCCACAGTGGTGTATTTATAGTAGCAGATTTGACTGGTGAGATGAAAATTTTCTCTCTTGAAAGTGAAAAAAAAAAATTTGGATAATTTCTGTGTGTAGCCAGTGTTATGGTTTTCTACTTTGTAATTATACGTACATTAGAATACACTTTTTTTTTTTGGTGGGGATTTGGGGGTATTGGGGATTGAACTCAGGGGCACTCAACCACTGAGCTACATTCCCAGTCCCATTTTGTATTTTATTTAGAGACAGGGTCTCACTGAGTTGCTTAGTACCTCACTGTTGCTGAGCCTGGCTTTGAATTCTGATCTACCTGCCTCAGCCTCCCGAGCTGGTGGGATTATAG